AGCAATGCGACAGAGTCAGTTTTAGACATAAATTGAAAGAGGAAAATAACATTCGAAACAAGTTTTGATCGAATCTGCTTGAATCTGGGAAATTTCGAAATTGTTCGACAAAAGCCAACATCAGCAGCATATTGAGATATATTGGTTGGAGGAGTAATCAGAATATTGAAAACATAATTCGAAAAACGAAAAGTGGGTAGTATTGTACTCTGGTGTACATCAAAAATGTTACCAATTGGTTTTTAGTTGTTTTCGCATGAGTTCGTCTGCTGAACTCAATTATGAAAATAGTTCTATAATCAGAAAAATGCTATGCGCGACAATCGAAAGCTTCATACTTGCGAAGAAGATTGGACAGGAGACAGAATCAAGGGCCGAAGAATGATTGAGCTTAGAGCTTTTTATGCAGTGGATGGGAGAATGGACAAAGCAGGTTAGGGCGTCCAGGTGTGGAATTTCGGTTTCATAATCAAAGTTACCAGAGTAGGGTGGTACGTTCAGATGCATTTGAGACAGGTGAAAAGTTTTTCCGGTAACTTCAAGGGGAGTGGTTATGAAGGTTGTGGGGCAAAACTGTCAACTCCGTCAGAGATGTCGGAGTTTTTCGGAATAATAATGGTGGTAAGTTGACGCGGAGGCCAGGAATCGGACATTTGGATAAGGACTCACAAAATACATTATTAAACGATGTAGCATATTTTGCAGCATCAAACTTGAGAACCGCAGGAAGAAGGCCATCAGGACTAATGTTTCAATATTCTTGGGATTTTTAAATACATTTTGAAATGTGTGCCGCAGAGGAAGGATGAAGAGTTGTGAAAATATAAGAGGAATACAAAGGATGACTGATACTGGAGGGTTGCATGAATGTAGCAATAACGTGCTCCAAATCGACTCTATGGTTTGTGTGTTTGGACTACTGACCACAAAAAAGCTTATGCTATACCAAAAACGTTTGTGGTTCTCGGTGTGTAGAAACTGTTTGTCAAAAAATACATATAAATGCCTTATCTTTTTCTTGATCAAATATAAAATTCTCCTGACATCTAAACTACGGCAAGATTTGTGCGCTATTTCCTTTTCTCTGCAGAGTGCTTCTAGTGACGATGAGGTAATCCTACCAACAGAAGTGAACAGTGTTTCTTTGGGACAATATACGTTGGGTATGACACATGGGGTTTCAGTAAACAGTTCTGCGGCACGAGAGAGTGCGGTCGTACAGGAAATCCACGAGAAACCAACACCAGTTGCTGCATTGTTGAAGAAGTTATCGAAGGGACTTTACAGACTTGGTTCTCTATAAATTCATTCTTAGACAGGTAAATTTCATTTGCATGTCGTCATATATCATATTTTTTAATTGTGGACAAGTGCGTAATCTAAACATAAGAGTTCCGAAATCATTTTTCTCTTCATCATTACTCATCTGGGATGGTTCCCGTGGGAGAGAAGCTTGGTTGGTTTCGAACTGTTAGCTTAAATACCACCGCTATCCAATTTTCGACCAGTGGAACATTTGCCGAGAAGTGGAAAATCGTGTTTTACTTGGGTATCGTTGAATTGGGTTGTGATACGGGGAAAGTGAAATTACTAATGGTGTATAGACCCATACTGAATTGAAACCAATGACCTAAAAGCTATTCGATTTTTGTCGCCGTTCTAAAAGTGAGGTCGTACAGCTAGAGGTTTTCAGCACAAAACTCGGCAGTATGGTAAACTGTCTGGTTTGCGGGAACCTTTACTACTCTTTCTGTATTTTTTGCCAAACCGAACAGTTTTTGTGCTTTGTCGATTTTAAGCTTCGTCTTTTCAGTGATTAAAGATAACTGAAGGTAAATATTCGTGCAAGAAATTCACTTCACGATGTTGTTGGTAATAATCTGTCTAGAGAGGTCAATCTGGTTCAGAAAGAAAATGACCCAGACTGAGGGGTGAACAGTAAAACTTTATTTCTTCGACCTTGAAGCGTGAAGTGTCTCCTGCAATTCTTTCCATTGACACATATATAAACATATAGTAATGGAAAATGTTCCTATTTAGTTCGCTTCCAGTGAATTTCCGAAACAACTGCCAAGGGGATGTCGCTGACCATGGCAATTTTATTGCTATTCAGCTTTCTGTTGTCAGTCGGTGAAGATAGTAAGTGAATGAGCATGCACTTGCTATCTAAACTCTTTAGCTATCATGTTTGCGTTGCTACCCAAGAAGAGGTAACGAACTCTTTCTTACCATTTTGGAATAGTTGGCCTTGTTAGATGAATTGGCGGTGTGAATAAGACTTTGTAAAAACACCCATTCTTTGTAGTTCCTAGTAGATTCCCTACTGTCAAATTTTATAAAGAATGGATCGATGAGTACTCAGCTATTTGATGTACAGCTACATTTGGGGATAACTCCGTTGGAGTATTATTTACAACAATATGACACTCCTGAATGAAAATGGGGTGTGGCAAACTGAAAAGTGATATACTTTAAACCCAATACACTTCTCATAGTATGGGTGTATATTTGATAGCACTCTACCGACCGTGTTGATCGTAGTACAATGAAACCCATGCCAACAGGTGTGATGAGGATTGCGACATGAAATTTGTTGGCATTAGTTGCTGGGCAGTTTGACTTTATAAGTGCCAATCGTGTGAGCCTAATCACTGACCGTGCAAGGCCCACAGATGTACAAAAAGCGTCATGATACGTTCCACCTCTAAGCGCGACATTCAACGAACTAATTGTTCCTTCCAAACACAATACATTTTCATTGTTGATTTATCTTTTGTCCGATCTGTCTCGATTTTCATTGTTTACTAGTAAAAAGAAACGTCATTTCTTGAATACCCTCCCAGAAAATTCTCATATACGTACGCTGCTTGTGTGCCATGAAATTATTACCTTTCTGTCATAGACACTTTACTCGTGTTCACTATGGAGGAAAAACAAACAAGTTTCCATCGACTTATGTTGTCACATCTGCAAAGGAACAGACGGTCGGTTGGAAAACAGTCAGCCCCACAGTATTTGACTTTTATTCGAACCATCAAATTAGCCCAATAAATAACACCACACTTCAGTTAGATGCCAACAAGGTGGTCGTGGTTGCGAGTTAAATAAAATAAGGTGATCGGTGGCACGATGTGCAATACTGTACAAGCGAGCATTGCAGTGAACAATGTTGATCAGTTGACCGTCGCTGATACACTCGGTAGAATCGGAACAGGATGGGATGTTATATATCCGTTTGTGAACCTTGTCATGCGTCGGTTATGCAAAGATTAAATAAGTGGTCCAGTGAACTACGTGTAGTGACCAGTTTTCTTTAGTCTGATTAGAAATTATTTACAGTAAACGTAGAAGAAATACTTCGTTGATAAATGTCCAACGAGAATGGAGCTATCTTCCGCGTGTTCCCATAAATGTATTTCGTTTGTTTGTGAAGATGTATGGTGAGTGAATAATGGGGGCTGAAATTCAGAGTATCGTTTGATTTTGACATGTTAACAAAGTAAATCAGTGGGAGGGTGATGTATTGAACATGCTATGGTTCCCGGTGGAAGAGCATTACTCCCTATCATTAGAAAAACAGTATATAAATTGACACTCTTTGTTAGATAAATGGGTTCTGGTTCCCTTCTCGTTATTGCTCTCGGCTTTTCACGTTCTCATCGTGGTGCATTTTAGGCAAAATTGAAAACAATCCCAGTAAAGTGTTTGTCCAATAAGTAGGTCTTTGATAGCATAGTCATATGAAAGGTTCGCCAAGATTGAGACCTAGCATGTGGTCCAAGATATATGTGAGCTTCAAGTAATTCCAGCATTGTAGACGTTGCTGGACAGGTGAGTCGCGTGAAAATCCAGTCAGAACCAATCGCAACAGGCCAAGTTCAAATACCACAACAGCAGCACCTAGGGCGTACGGTGCATACATTTTTGTAGTTCAATGGCCACAAAGTTCCTTTTACACAAGAAGATACCCTTTGCTTGAGGTGTTTTGAAAATATGGAAAATGATATAGATTGAGCCTTTGGTAACGGTAGTTTGAGGATAACCACTTTGTCCAGTTATGTTGAACTTTTTGACAGCAGTCGGCTGTTGTGTCTTCAAATAATTTCCATTTTCATTCTTGCACATGAATATTTAGGACAAAACAGTTTCCTGCTGAAGAATCTGGCTTTATTAAGGTGTTTTCCGTTGACTGAGTACAAATTGATCTTATTCGCTTTTTCAAGAGGAATCTCGCTTCCCTTGAATTTATATTACGTGCATTCAAATGTCCAGTCAACGAACCGGTATCACCATTACGGACGGTCGCTGTCTATAACAGATGAGCTATCGCGGTGCGGAACAAGTGAATACTCGATTGCATCAGGTAAAGTCTGGCTTTACATGACCATGGGTGAATTACTACGAATAGAGGTTTTTAGCTAGCCCCATCATTTTCGGTCTCTTTGTATGACAATGTCTTAGTATGATCGGAGGCTAGCCTTTCGGGCTCCGAAGTGGCTATCCATCCTGAAAATCGCCCGAAATGATCCCAAACTGCCGTGTGCTTGAAAAAGCCTCTGCTGATGTGGTCATGCTGGCTGTCTTCTCAAGGAGGACGTATCCCTACTAAAATAAGAGGACAAGGGTGAATGTTGAGCGCTCTCCATCAGGTTGGCTGGCTGATAATCATTCTAAGGGAAATGGCTGAACCCTGAATTCAAACCAGTCACGGATAGTGTATGAGGCGTACAACAGTACGCTTACTGGCATCTGTGGCTGCCGGATGAACTGAGCATCCAGGATATTGGGCCTCATTTGAAGGGCGTATGAACTGAACAATCAGTCACTGCCCCCGTAGGTTACAGGCCCTAAACTCAGTCCCGCTGCCTCCCGGGTTATGCTTTGGGTGGCTACAGGCTCTGGTTATTGTCTTTTAGGAAAATCACCCACTTTGCCTGAGAAACCTGGCAGTTTCGCGCCCAAAAACAAACTATGGAATTATTGGATTTCATTATACGTTCATGGATAGCTCACGAAATCTTACTGATCACTTACCATTGCGTGCAAAATCACCCATACGCTCACCGGTTTCCTTATTATCTTTCGTCACCACTGATGCGGTATCCAGAGACAATTCAAGACATACTGATAAGTCCAGTCCTCCGCACTTGGATGTTGCATCTTTCCTGCGAACATGCTCACCGTTCAGAATTGCGACGTATAGTTTGCGCACTCTGATGCGCACAGGTCAACGAGGTGGACCAGAAAGGACCTTGAAGAAGGTGAGTGTTGATATCAGCTAAACTCATTAGACCCGCATTCAATACCCCGGTAACATAAAATAGATATTGCTTACGGAAGAGGACGCTTATTTTATTTGCGCTGTTCTGGAGACCATGAAACTGAGGCTTCTGGCAAACGAGGCTTTAAAATAGTCCTCAACTATAGAGCCCAGGCTAGTGTTCTCGAGTAGATTCCAGTTGGTAGTAGTACGAGTTAGAGGTTCGTGCAGCGTAAGCAAAAGTGAGCTATTAGATGATGCCTCTTTAAGAATTCTGAGTATGCCCCATAGATCGTAGTTCGGATCCCGCGACGGATTGGTCCTACTAACGTATTTGCAAAGTGATAAAACAACACAGACCACGAATATCATCACTCCAGTCGGAGACTCAAATGCTAGGTTTGGTAGTATCGAGTCCAGTGAAAATGATCTCTGAGTTTGCTTTGCCTTAATTTTTGTCTCTCGGATTACGACGAAAGCCTTTTAAATTTATGTTCTCATGACCGACTGCTTCTATCCAGCATCAGCTCTAGAAACACAGAGCCGCTGTGCTAACTGGTGACATCGGTCGTGATCTTCGGATTATTCTCAGATAGATCACATTGCATTTAACTACAGATGGCCAGGATGTTCACAAAACTTCTGTTCATACTATGGAACCAGTCTTGCTTCTGATCACGCACTGGTATATGCCACACTTTGTGTTTTGGTGGAACAACTATGGAGATGATGTCGCGAGCTGGTATCCCCAGACTGTCGGAGCCTACCGTGCTGACCAAACTCCATAGTGAAGCAAAAGCCGGATTCAGTTCCATCCTATCGTGCCCCTGAAACAATGCTGGGCGCTTGTAAAATCAACCCTGCATTCCATTTGTGGCATTATCTTCAGACCACATGATAACTAAAGTGACTCGATACGGAATGTACTTCTCCCGGTTAAAGTTTAACGTGCTACTCCAGGATTGGCGAGAGCATGTGCCCGCGCCCTACTTGTGCAATAAAACGCTGGAAATTACCGAAAGTTTCATTCACGCAGGGTATGCTGTATTAGTGGAAATAGCTGCTTTGGAGTAAAAATATACAAAAGCATTTTGAAATCCGGACTAGCTTTTTCGAACACCAGGCATATCTGGAGCCTACACGACATCAGTGCTTATTTCAGAGGCTGGATGCAAATTACCGCCGTAATTCCCGTACTGCTATATGTTTGGGAAAAATGGTCCCTCAGATTTGATGATAAATTCCCTTGCCTGGTTGTGTTTGGTACCTGCTGCTTACGTAACATTGCCGGTGTTTTGTGGAATTCCGGCTAATTAGGCGTAGAAAATTCAGCTTCTGACTGATGAAACTGATACAGATTTGCCGATATATTGACCAGGAGACCATGAACAAAGGAGTGGGAGCTGATCAAAAAAATTCAGGTTATCCGAACGGAAGTACTTCGGAGAATCTAGTTTGTAACCCGAAAATCCATTCAAAAGGCGTGAGCTTCTTTGAAAACGTAAAGTAATCGCACTGGGATCCGTGATCTTATGATCAGAATCGAGGCTCACTGGACTGATACCTCCGTGTGCATATGCTGACTGGGAAAACACAATCTGAGAATCCCGGAATCTAATCTTGGATGAAAACTGGCACACTGCACATTCAGTGTGACTCAATCATTCAAAAATGGGACCATCAACAGGCAGAATTAAATTTCATGTGCATAACATGTCCTCTTGATTTAAATGCTGTAACATAAAGAGGCAATGAGACATAGGAAATAACACAAGAACCTACAAGATAGATGTCTTGTAAAAATAATATTCAGTGCTTAGTGCTAAAGCCAACCTCTACAACGAAGGTTGAAATTAGTCAGTTGAGGCTGTGCAAGAAGCTTTAGTATCTAATTTTGCCGATAACTGTCATGAGTGCACACGAAACAGAAGACCGTTCAACTCTCCTTTACGCTGAGATGAACGGAGTTTTTCCTCTTCAAAACATGATTAAGTCAGTTATATCTGCTTTATTCTGGTTTCGTTGAGAACATCGGGAAGATGCGATCAAAATTATTCTAGGTCCGAAAATCTATTTCGTGGTATATTTGCTGTTCACTTCTGTTGAAAATAGCCCAAAGGTTCGTTGCGAAGCACAACAATTCGTGAACTAATTACCAAGTCAAGTGCTATGAATTTCATTCACATTTATCCTTTCTATTCCTTATGATCAACCCTGATTTGCTCTATATACCCATTAGTAAAAATGTTACGACTCAAGTTTTTACAGGTATTTTGCATAAAGGTAAATGCGTCCGGTAACATGTGACCACTCTTTCAAGAATGATGACCAAATTTATGTTCCCTTTGAGGCTACCAGCACACATTTTCACGATTTACACCGACAGTTTGTTTGTCCTCCATGTATAAACACCTAAGATTAGACATGAAATAACCTTTGATTTGGGCAAACAAAATAGTCTTAGTGACAAACTTTACTGCAAAAACTAAAATGAAGTTGGATAGGAAACTCCATGCAGTGTTTTTCAATCTTGTTTCTAAACAGCAGCAAAAGAGGGAAGCATGATATATTGATTACATGCGTAGAAGTCAAAACGAGAATTGCACTAGAATGTGTCACCAGGAAATCTTTCCTCGTAACGTATAGGTTCCTAGGTGAATCCAAGATAACAGGAATTTTCGATCCTCAGTCTTAAAGTGGGTCTATAGGACTGTGTGTATTTCTGGGTCAAGGAATAATTTGCATGTTGATCAATGTTCTCCATACTTTGCACGTTTCGTTTCTGTTGCTACGGCTAGGTTTTTGTTGGCTGGCCTCATCATCCACTATTACAGTTTATCATGAATAACACGCACATGGTAGAAACCGGTTATTCGATGGACATCTTGTCGATCTTCAAAATTGTATATTACGTCTCGCAACAAATGTCAAGAGCAATTAAAATCCAGCTACTAGCGAATGCGTGGGCAGTTACCATCAGCCTCTCGAAGATCGAGCTTTACCAGAATCGTCCTCCCTCATTCTTATATCATCAGACTGACGTAGCGAGAACTCGTTATTTGGTCTTGATATAAATGTGGTTGTAATGACTTGAGAATGAAATCACCGAGAACACATTCACCTACGACCCATGTTCAAATAACCCAGCTGCCTGCTTAGCAAGTGACTGACAATGTGACCTTCGGGGAATTGGTCTTTAACGTTTACTAACTGAACGGTGATGTGGTAAGAAAACGTTTGGCTTCATTATATATATATATATATATATATATATATATATATATATATATATATATATATATATATATATATATATATATATGAATTTGCACCTTGTTCTGAGAGTCCGAGTCAGAACCATTAATAACTTTCATTTGCTTATTGATTTGATCACTGCTATTGCGGATCTAAATTTAGTGTCACGGTATGCTCTCATACTGAGAGTGAGTTTAGGAAAATGTATTTTATTAACACAGGACTGTAGTTTCGGATACACGTTGTGTATAGGACGGATACTAAGGTCTGACATTATATTCGATATTTATTCAAAACTGGTTACCAAGAAAATCTAGAAATTTTCATTTGGAACAGCATTTTGCTTTACTTGAGGAGGCTTTATGGGTTACAGAAAATGCAGTAGTAATCTTTCAATGGACACCACGTAATTATGACAGTTGGTTTGCCGTCAACTGGTAACGAAAATAAATGATCCGAAATGCTGTTTGAACTTCGGCAGCTTTTGGACGTGTCTTCCAAGAAATCACGGACGATCTCGAGCGAAATCATAGTCTGTTCTCTCACATTCATAATTATCGGTCTAACCCTGAGGTCATGTGATTCGCCACACGTGTAGTTCAAATACCAATTTGTGTGAATAATAATCTCGAATGCGCAATTGAGGAGTAATTTAGGGATGATAAAGCACATTTGTTGGAATGAGCACTGACATAATTCTTGCTGACTAACTGTGAAGACCAAATGGCTCGAAATGGAGTCGGGAAGTACACTAACGGGCATTGAAATGTAATGGTCATTGAGCATGTGAAATATGGCATGTATATAGGTATGAACACATGAAGGAGCGCATATACATACGTGATGATCCTTAAGCAACGGGATTTGTGGAAAAAATTCCTCAATCACCGCAATTCCGTAGATGGATTTCGAAAGTATATATATATATATATATATATATATATATATATATATATATATATATATATATATATATATATATATATATATATATACAAATGCGTAAACACGTTTTTCAAACAGATGATCCTTTGGCAAGTCGAACAGTGGACTATGTCCTAAGCGCTGCTACACATTTTACAATATTGAGATTGTTATGTGACATAAGATGTGTTCTGAAATAATCCACTAGTTGTTTATAGAAGACGTCTCTGCTGCAGAACCTTCTCGGAATCGAAGCATATGGTATATAAGGGTGATTTACAAGGCGTACTGGACATATCTATCCCATGTGGGAAAGCGAATTGGCCTATCGGTTCTGACGATAATCTCACCTGACTGATTGTATTCTTGGTTCTTTTTCTAAACTGGGTGGAAAATCCCTTTTTCTGTTACTGGCCACGCTGTTGGTCGTGAGTCCGTTGAGTCTAACCTGTTTAGCGATCCCGATTAGGTGATTCTAGCGTATCACATGACACGATCATGTTGATGAAATGCCAGTCAGTACGTGCCTTTCGTTGGCAACGGATCAGTGAGTATCATCAAAATAAGCGGAAAAGTTCAGCGACCTCTTGATCTCAAACCTTCTTATGGAGTGAATCCATCAGTTTGATTTTTGATGATTTTCCTATGTGGTGAGGTGCACCATCTGTCGCTGTTTGAACGTTGAAGCGTGATGAATGCTGTAATCTGTGTGCAGACCGAATGAGCATACTTTCTTAGTCAATCACATGCGCAAAATCCAAAAGTTAAAACTTTCCTCTGACATAAATGTAAAGGAACTTTATCATTTACATTGAATCTTTT